TATTATCGAAATACCTGTAACTATTATGAGTACGACGAGTCACGAGAGTATATGGTTACTATTATTCCAAGAATGCAATATTCTTGTAAGTATTCTTCTGTTTCTTAGTGGATAGTTTTGTGTTATAATGCTGAAATAAAAAGAATTGAAATGATTTGTTTTAGCTTTCTATGCGAAGACAAACACAATTGATGTTTATCAATTGTTGTTTACATTTCTAACTTTTTAAGAAAATAATCCATTTGCACCGAAAGTTAAAAATAGTCTTCGAATATATAGTCTGTTGAGATGAACGATCAAATGTTAGTGTCAAGACTGAGATTAGATTATAGTATATCAGATCTTGAAGCATGTACGAAGTCTTCAGAAAACACAATTTTCATTCTTTTCCTCTGTATGCAATCACTCAACAACAACAACCTAAATTATTAGAGTATATGCGATGAGTTTTCATCAATTGAATAGTGTCTGCAGAGCAAAAATTAAACTTACAATTGCTTCAAAGAATATTTTAGAGTATTGCAATCGAAAAAAGAATCTATATTTTAAACGCCTAATGTTTTTGACGGAAATAGTTTATCTATTCAGTTATATACAAACTAATAACTCATATATTTATTAATGTGTACTACTACAAAAGTGATAGAATTGAAAATCTCTCTGAGATTAGAAACATGTTAGTAAAGGCCTTTGAATTCTCACAACTGTGAAAGAAATATAGGACACCATTTTGAAGAATATTTGATTAAACTGATTAATAATCATTAATGAAGAAAAAAAAGCAAAGTACACGTTACACGTGCCGGTTGATCGTTTGACATTCTTATTTTTGAATTTTTAATCAATTCTTGTCACACATTTTTCTAAAAATACATGCTCTCGATTTGAGAAAGCTAGTTGTATTATCACAGTATTTTTTGCATAAAATGTAAATTCTTTATCACAATCAATCAAATAGAATCTTGTACACTCCCGCACAAATAAGTATTTCAGTGAGTATATGCAGATTCCAATTTGTTTCAATTATTATTTACACTTCAAAAGTTAAAAAAATTATATAACATAGAAAAAACTTTAAACCATATGCAGTACTAGACACTATTCATGCTTTGCATTTTGATTAGAATGTAATCCTTTATTTTGTGAATTGGATTTTTTTTGCAGCACTTGACGCTACGCCAACTTCTGTTGTACCGCACAACGTACCATGTTCTCCTGATGTTGGCAAAGTTGTTCTTGTTATAATGGCTGGTGAGCATCGAACACAAATTCGAGATGATCAGTCAACGAGAGCTGCATTGGCTGGCAACACTCGAAATTATCAACACCTAGCTATTACACTATATGAAGATACCGTCTATTTGCTACGTATTCAATTTGAATGCACCGGATCACAAAATGAAGATTCCGTTAGAAATAACTGTAACCTTCCTCATGATGTGGCTGCCTCGATTGATCTAAATGATGATGGTAGATTTAGTGATATAGAAAATGCAGCTCCTTATCGTTGGCCAGTCACTAGTTATACACCACAAGGCATCTATGATCTACAAATATATGTGCCTGACATCGATGGAACGAAGACGAAAAGTGGACCACATCGTATGCGCCTTGACATAACATTAAATGAACAGTATCGTCAAAAAATGTGGCAAGAATTATTATAGGGATACGCGAGAGTATAATATTACCATTGTTCGAAAAAATATGAAACAAACAGGTAAATATTTTTTCTTCTACTATGTGGTTGGAGACATCGAATCTTATGAGTATGATTTGATTATTTCAATTATAAACAATTTTGTTTGTATATAATAATGATTTCAACTTTTAAAAAATGAACACTACTCTCAAAAGCATGAATATTTACGAGAAGAATTATTGACGAGTAAATTATTCTACAAATAGAAATATGTTTTGAAACAAAAAAAAAGAATTTCGAAATTTCACATATAGAATAGATTTTAGAAGTTAATATGTCACTGAAGTTTTTCATTTAGTGAAGTAAAAGATATTATCTCCAGCAACTTTTTACACATGTTTGTTATGATAAAAAATGCATAGAGAAATGGATAATATCTTTGTGAATGTATAATCAAGTTCAAGAAGATCTTTTTTCTAGTCTATATTGGGCACGATAGATCGATATATTAAGTTTGAAAAAAACAAAAGAATTACTCAGACATCAAAAAATACTATTTTTATAAATTCTAATTATATTATTTATAATTCAAATTTTGAAAGAGAAACATGATTCTATGTAAAAACGTAGTTTTTCTGACAGAACTTCAACCATTTTTTTTCATTTAAACATAGAAACAACTGATATATTTTTTCAACAAGCACATACTACGGATTTTCTTTCGATCAAATTCATCAGTAATGTAACTATAACCATTGAATTCCACAAAACAAAATTCTAGTAATACGTTCTCTAATGAATATTTCTTATTTGTCAATTATAGTCATAAATGACAAATATGGCGAAAATAAAAGAGAATACTAGAAGTATAACATCGTGTACAAATGTATAGAGACTATTTATTCTTCTTTTTTGAGTTTGTCCAAGAAATTTAATCTTGAGTTGTATCACAAATGACAGATGTATTACATTGATCTACGTTCATTTAATCGATTTGTGCAATTCTTAGATTAGTTCAAATATATTTTCATTATCTTTTGATTGAAAATGGATTTATCTAAAAACGTGTTTTATATTAGTATAGAATACAAGAATTTTTGACGGTTTAAACCCATTCGATAGTTGTTAATCGCTAAAATATAATGGAGTTGCACATTACGAACAATGTTTCCAGATATTTTTGATATGATAGATTATATAGTTGACTCAACCGAATTCATACAGAATACTTATTTTTGTGAATTTTCATTATTTCTAGTCGATATCGGAGGTTCATATTTGACATTAAGTAATGCAGTATGTTCTAAAGCTCATGCCAAAATTGTACTTGTTATAATGGCTGGTGAGAAAGGATCACATATTCGGGATGATACACCACTAAATACTGCAATCAGAGAAGATCAAAATCGACACCATTTGGCTGTTACCTTATATGAAAATACCATCTATCGAATACGTATTCAATTGGATTGTGACCAACCCTCCAGTAGAGGTTCGTTTAACATCAATTGCAATCTTGCTTACGATGTGAATGTCTATATTGATCTAAATAATGATGGAAGATTTGATGAATCCGAAAGTCGTGTTCCTCATCGATGGCCACTGCGTAGTACAATGACATTAGGCATTTATGATTTGGAAATTCCTATACCTAGTATCGATGGACTGACTACTAAAGATGGATCACTCATCATGCGCATTGTTGTGAAATCAAGTGAAGAGTATAACAGAATATGTGGCAGATATGACTACAGTGAAACACGAGAGTACACAGTCAATATTATTCCAAAGGAACCTTCAAAAGAAATTTCACAGGATACGTATGTTACAGGTAATATGCTTTTCTAATTATTGAATACAAGTTTTGGATCACATCAGAAATGTAGTTCTCTTTAAGAGTAAGAGTGAATGAATTAGCTATTATAATGATTTATGTATTCAACCGATCGATACTATTTTGATAAGTCCCAATATCATAGACTTGTGACACTTGAGCAAAAGATCATTTAATGTAAAAAAGAATCATGAAGTTTCGACAAACTATAAAATGTTTTTGACTTTATTGCTGCTCGAGCCTATCTCGCTAATGAAAAAGGCAAGTGCTATATACGCCTTCCTACAAACAAAAATAAGGTTCGTGAAGTGCATGACTTGTATCATAAAGATCTCGACAAAGCTAATGTCCATCTTTCGTACACACACCTACAATATTTCCATAAAGTTGTTTATTTTTTATTACAATATACTACATTCTCTCTTTTAGACTATAGATTGACGCATTGTTCACCTGGCAATTTAGTCTGTTCAGTAGGCCATAGTGCTATTTTTTCTGTGAGTATATCTGGTGAACAAAATACACAAATTCGAGATGAAACGAGAAAATGTAGCTCAACAAATAATTATAATGATCAAAGCAATCTAGCTGTCACATTATTCGACAATACATTTTATACTCTTCGCATTGCATTATCTTGTGTCCAACAATCAGACTATGATAATACATATAACCAAGATCCATATGCGTTCGAAACATACTGTCGTGATACTCGCTATCTTGGTATGTGGATAGATTTCAATAATGATGGTACATTTGATGACAATACAGAACGAATTATTCCTAACCATTGGTATACAGATGATCCTCACATGACTCAGAGTGATATAAGTTTTACTATTCCACAAATTGATGGTAGATATTATGTAGGCGGACAACATCGAGCACGCATTGTTTTGGTACAAGATACAAGAAATCGTAAGCCATGTCAAAACAATGGTTATGGTGAAGTTCGAGATTACACAGTTAATATTATTCGAAAGGAAGTTTCAAAGGAAACGCATGATACAGGTAATATA